AACTTGTGTCGCTAAAGTTTCGTCGGAACGAAGTTACGGAAAGTTAATTAACAAACGGAGACGTAACAATTAGTTAGTGTTTTAAAAACTAAGCGCATCTCATGCACAAAAACTATTGCAATACATATTAAGTCATAGTATATAATAATTCATATTTTATTCAGTTTGAAAAGCATCAAACTATATTTTACCTTTTAAAACTTACAATTTTAAAGAATGAAAATGAAAGTCAAAAAGATTTAATATTTCTATACTGAAAATGTATTTCCGATAGCTATTCTTGTTTACTGCTGCCCTCTATATGGGAACTTTTTTATTACACATGCCACAAGCCTTCACACTCCCCTATTGGAATTAAATGATTCCAGTGTGTCTCTCATGCAAATCATCATGCATCACCTATCCACCAATAGGAGCATAGTACACTCACGTGATGCATGTGACTCCCTCTATGTGCCTCTACCAAATTATTACTTTGAAGTTTGGCAGGTGACAGAAGCCCCGGAAATGAGTGGGGAGGAAGGGTGGGAAGTGTGAGAAGAGGGAAGTACCTATTGGAAATACATTTTCAGTATAGAAAATTTAAAATTTCCAATATGGTACTTCCCTCCACTCACAAGATTAGCTAGAATCCCACATTGATTAGGAGGAGGGACCGGAGCAAGGAAAGAACAGACATACACCCCAAAAGCATCTGAAGGATACCCCTGTAGATGAGAGAGTCAGATCCAAAGATCTGGAGAGGGGAACAGCACCACTTTTGATGCAGATATACTCTTTGCCCAGTTGAGGAATGTGTGAAAGTCAGGGTGGAAAATGAGAGGAACACATCCTAATAGGTAAGGAAGTGATCCTAACTAGAGAAAGATATAGTAACTCAATCCCACAATAAGAAATTGAGTAAAAGAGAATGTGTCCCATGGTGTAGAGTGGTTAGGGCATGGTGGACCACTCATGGGATACGGACATCAGTGTGATGGTAGGATGAGGATCATACCATCTTCACCTCAAACCCAAGAACCGGGGAATTCAGAACTACTCTGATTCCTGGGTATTACACAGGATGAGCTTTGAGCTATTGATCTGGGAATGTGACATCTGGTATCGAAGGGAAGTCTATCACGTGCAGTCAACTCCTACGACCAGGAAACAAGTCGAGACCATTCAAAGAGCAATAACATCCACGTAAGAACAGAGAACAAGGGAGAGCCAAGGATAGAACTGGAAGAGTCCCATGTATCTCAACTGTGACCTACAACACAGAAGGAGGAATCGAAGGAGAAAGATAGACAATCCAAAGCCTGTGCAAGGATTGGTTCACTTGAAAACCAAAACCAGCCAGGATAGGAAGAGGGCTTCCAATTGAAGAGGTGAACTGCATTTTGAAGCCTCACTCCACTGTATGTTTAATCACAAATCAGAAGATATTGCATCATCTACACTGGCAGAACACCACCACCCTACTCTGAACTGAATGGTTATAGCATCTTATGTGGAAACCACCCAGCAGGGTGCCTCCATGGTCAACCACCCCAGCGACTTGGAAGTGGTAAGGACGCCCATACTCCACTAGAAGAAAAGAGGGTGAGAATATGTTGGAGATCCCAGAGGAACGTTGACACCCGAGACAGTGCAATGGGTGATCACGAAACCCTATTTTGAAAAGGAGACCATACCGATTTATTCAATCAAGGCATGGCAGGGATGGGCAGCTATCCCTTTCTGCTTTACCCATGAAGTCCATGGGCAGTACAGTCTGGGATAGGCCAATTTATGAAGCAAATATCGCGAGGTTATTTACCTACAAGCGATCTTGTGAAACACCCCATCTTAAAGATAAGTGTGCAGAGCCCTGGAAATAAAGCACTATTCAATATGGCATACAGTGCAAATTTGGAGTTAATGAATACCTGGTCAGGCACCACTCATCACAGAGCGGGATACAAGTAATGAAGGTATGAAGATTGGACCCCTGAAAGAAAATAAATGATTAATAAAGACTTACCCAGTGTCAGAGTCGCACAGAAGATTGGAGTATAGCT